GATTACACATGTGAGCCACTGTGCCTGGCCTTATTTATTATTTTAATTAATTTATTTTTTAAGACAGTGTCTCACTTGCTGCCCAGTCTGGAGCATAGTGGCGTGATTATGGCCCACTGGAGCCTTGATCTCCCAGGCCGAAGTGATGCTCCCACCTCAACCTCCCCAGTAGCTGGGACTACAGGCACACACCAGCATGCCTGGCTAATTTTTTTATTTTTAATTTTTTGTAAATGGGGGTCTCACTATGTTGCCCAGGCTGGTTTGAAACTCCTGGGCTCAAGCAGTCCTCCCATCTTGGTCTCCCAGAGTGTTGGGATTACAGGCGTGAGCCACCACACCTGGCTTCTTACTAGATTTTAAAGTGCATACACATTACAGTATTATTGACTATAAGCACAATCTTGTACAGCAGATCTTTAGCACTTATTCATCTTGCATAACAGAAACCTTAAACCTGTTGCTTTTTAATCCCTACAACGGTCTGAAAAGATTACTTTACTCTTCTCATTTTTCAAGGCAAAAACAGCCCGAGAGAAGTTAAATAATTTATCCAAACTCACTAAACAAGTACCTTAAACAAAATACAAGCCCAGGTCTGTGTATCCCTAAAGCCTACAGGCTTCTCTTATTTTGCTTGGTACCAGAGGTAAGCAGCTAATTAAACAAAAAAAAATCTTTGCAGGCATGGGGTCTCGCTATGTTGCCCAGGCTGGTCACAGACTCCTGGCCTCAAGCAATCCTCCAGTCTTGGCTTCCCAAAGTGCTGGGGTTATAGGCATGTGCCACTGTATTCAGCCTTGCTCAGTACTGTCTAAAGTGTCCTAAGAAAATGTTCTTTTTGAGGCCAGGCGCAGTGGCTCATACCTGTAATCCCAGCACTTTAGGAGGCTGAGGCGGGTGGATCACGAGGTGAGGAGTTCAAGACCAGCCTGGCCAAGATGGTAAAACCCCATCTCTACCAAAAATACAAAAATTAGCCAGGTGTGGTGGTGCACGCCTATAATCCCAGCTACTCGGAGGCTAAGGCAGAAGAATTGCTTGAACCCAGGAGGTGGAGATTGCAGTGAGCCGAGATGGCACCACTGCACTCCAGACTGGGTGACACAGCAAGATTCTGTCTCAAAAAAAAAAGGAAAGAAAGTGTTCTTTTTGATGTTATTAAGAACTCCTTGCCAATAAGATTATTATTTTGTACAGTATATATAATTATTATATTATGGCTAGGCGCAGTGGCTCCCACTTGTAATCCCAGCCCTTTGGGAGGCTGAGGCAGGTAGATCACCTGAGCTTAGGAGTTTAAGACTAGCCTGGCCAACATGGTAAAATCCCATCTCTACTAAAAATATAAAAAGTAGCTGGGCATGGTGGTACACGTCCATAATCCCAGCTACTTGGGAGGCTGAGGCAGGAGAATTGCTTGAAACTGGGAGACAGAGGTTACAGTGAGCTAAGATCATGCCATTGCACTCCAGCCTGGGTGACAAGAGCAAAACTCCATCCCCCCCCAAAAAATTATATTATAAATTATATATTACATTATTGTATATTATATATATTCTGTAACAATACAATAAATACTTTCCTATTACTTTAGTAATTAAATTGCATATAATTATGCTGTTAAGCTTGTGGGGAGTTATGCCCCTTTCCAAAGATAAAAACACACACATCTTTGGGGAGTCAGATCCAGACCCTGGGATCCTGACTGCCAGCACCTCGCTGTCTCCACCAGCCCCATGTCCTATCTGCAGCCCCTACGTTTGTTATCTGGGGAGTTGTTATCTACGGGAGTGGCCTTCCCTGACCTTGTCAACTCTCGTTCCAGCGTTTGCTAACAAAGGCAGTGACAAAAAAAAAGTGTTCCCCAAGTCTAATGGCTCTTAATCTTGAATACACAGTGAATTTCATAATGTTTAGTCTGACTATCTAGAGAAGTCCAAATACATTGAGTTGTCACAGTCCCTTTAAGGGACTTGAGTTTTACAAGGGGGAAAAGAAAGAGAAAGAAAAATCATAGACACAAATTTCCCTCACAGATACTGCTGCTGCTGGTTTGGAGAGGAAGGACTTCTGGAGAACTGGAACTTGGTCAGTGGATGAGGACATACAACACTGTGAATGAGCAATTATGGAGTCAGGGTGGTGTCTCGGGGACTTGGAGGATGTCAGACATCCCATGTTGACTAATTCGAGATACCTATTCTGTTCAAAGAGGGCCTTTCAGCTGGGCACGGTGGCTCACGCCTGTAATCCCAGCACTTTGGGAGGCC